TCGGATCTGTGGCCGAGCTCCCGAGTCAGCTGGAAGATCCGAGCCGCCGCGATCGCCGGCATCCGGACGCGGCGTCCGCGTCCGTTCACCTTCGTGTGACGATCTCTAGACGCGGTGGTGGATCTGATCGCGAGCTGCATTTGGGGACGCGATTCGGGAGCTGCTGCTGCGTCTGTTGCGGAGAATTTCTTAAGCGCCATGTCTGAGCCCATCTGAGGCGAAATGAGTTTCGATTTTTTTTTCCTCTGTACTGAAGGGAAAAGCTTCGTACTTTAATGGCGGATTTGTAGAGAATCTAGGGTTTACAGAGGTGATGATGATGATGTGCTACGGATTCTACTGACCCCACAAGGGACTTTTTCTTCAAGAATCATTAATTTTGGATAACTTCAAATCCACCCCTCTACTTTTCATTCTTTCATTCATTGACTTGCCTTTTAAAATATTGCACTTTAGGCCTAAACTATGATTATTTTATAAATAAAAATTTAATTCAATTAAAATATAAATCTAATTTAAAAATAATTGAAATAAAATTTGAAATATCCAATACCATATCATTTTCATAGATGGTTGGATATATTCGACTCTATTTTATGATTTGCTTTTACGTGTAATTAGGACAGGGTTTTTTTTAGTATTCTTTAACAATGTAGGGTATATTATGCAATAAGTAGAAACGATAGGGATCACCATACCTCGAAAAAAAGGACGAGAGATCTTTGCAAGGTTTCGATAACGTGTCTTGCCCCCAAAGAGACCCCAAGTGGGACCCAGAGTCCGGGTGGTGGAGTCTCTTCGAGAAGGAACACGTGGCGTAATTTAAGTGGGTCCCACAGGACGTGAGGTTGGGAGGATATTGGTGCAGATGATTTACCGTGTGAGTGACTGCACCTGATCATATCACACTAAAAAAATTAGTACAAAGATTATGTGAATTAGAATTAATATATCTTTTAAGTTATGGTAAAAAAAAAACGGGTTCCTAGGTTACAGTCTTATGAATATTAAATTAATTCGTTTATCACTTGCAAAAATACTAAAAATATGTTTTAAGCATTTTATTTTTAGCTTGTGAAAACCACCAACCGCAGTCTAACAAATTATAATCACTGAATTAATTTTTAAATTTAAAAAAATTCGTATTATCGATCTGTAATTTTGGGGATGAAAAATAATATGGAAAAGGATACTAACTCCAGCAACTGATGGATGGCTTCTTAATCTGGACGTGGGCCACGGGGTCTATGGGAAAAATATAAAGGATCAGCAATTAAAAATTACATAATGTGGGCTCCAATTGGGCTTTCTCATAGTGGGCCTTTTATTGGGCTTTATGTTTTCATTATTGGGCTTTCTTTCTGATCGTCTGAAACCGACACATCCGACGCAGAGAGGCGGACTTTCAGTTTTCTGCAACGAAGCCGACAACGGAAGAAAGAAAAAGCCCAACCTGATCTTCAAAAAACAAAAAAAAAGAAGAATAGAACAGTACAAAATCTGGGGTCTGAAACGAGCCAAGCCACTTCCATGGCGGTATGACTTGAAAGAAAAAAAATCCTACCTTTTGGTTTTGTTTTCTTATCCTTTCGTCTGTAGAACGGCCTCATGTTCTCGACTTAGCCAAAGCAGAAACCAGAAAACAAAAAAAATCTTGATTTTGGATAATTTAACGCAATGGATGCTGCAAGGAACTTGCTTTCTTCTTCTCCTTCGTTTCAGACAAAGACCCATCTCAAGAACACTCACTCTTCTCCCCCCTCTGGTAGTTCTCAGAACTAGTCTTGCATTTTGATTTCTATTTAATTTTCATTGTCTCTTATCTTCTTTTGGAACATTAGGGTTACTGATTAATGGGTATTGCTCGTTTTCTGTAGATTTATCTCGTTAGTTTCGTTTACATGTCAGTGATGGATTCTGATAAATGGGTCTTTACTTGCTCTTTTCTTTAACTGTGTAAGAAATGCAATTATACAGACAGCTCTGCTTCACGTACATGGTTACGAACGATGTGTCTGAAATCGTTCTTCCAATTAGTATCTCTCGTCTTGTTTCTCTTTGATGTTTCCATCAGAGGTTATTAATGGGTTTTTTGTTTTGGTTTGGTTTGGTTAATTGCAGTAATGATGCTTCGTGAACAGACGGTTCCTGCAGTGAGTTCACGTCACGTTTCTTCTATATCCAGACATTTTCCTGCATCGGTGCTCTCGCAGGAGCCACGGGATGAGTACAAACCTTTGTCACACTCTTT